TGTAGGCGAGATTGAAGGTTCGGACGAAAGAGAGATTATAACCCATTTTATTTTAAGTTATTAAAGGTTAAATGCGTAATTTAACTTTTGTGTGAAATGGATGCACAAGATTTACCCTTTCTTGATTTCATGATCAACTTTTCCTCTGAATGATTTTTTCTTTCTTTTCTATCAATTTCTCTATCAGTACAAAAATCTTATACAAATACAAACCAACCATTAATTCATTTGCTTATTTCTTTTTTGTCCATTTTCTCAATCAGTACAAAACATTCTATGCTTTATTATTGTTGATTATAATATAAATATGTGCGACTATTAATTTTAGTATTTTTAGATGTTGACTTGCTGATTGTTTAGGTTATATCCACCTGTAATTGGTTTACTTGGTTTACTGATACATGTTATAGAAAATGAACAATCCTAGAACTTTGGCTATTTGATATCTTATTTTTACAGCTTGCGTCATATGATTTTCAAGTTGAAAAACTTCACTTTAAAATCTGAAAACTACCAAAATGTACCTATTATCTGAAAGTTTGGTGTTTAATAATGCCTTGTTGTCTACATCTACTTGATATTAGTTCGTATTTTCATTTTTAGATAGAAGGTCAATAGGTTTGTTTCCTAATATTTAACTGATTATCACTAGTTTTTTTTTTTTTTTTTTTTTTTTTTTTTTTTTTTTTTTTTTTGTATATGCAGATATTATAAAATGAGCAATACAAATAGGAAATGGATGTATGAAAGACTTGATGATCGCGGTCATATCTCTCGTAGTTTTGTAAATGGTGTGTAATCCATCATCGAGTTTGCTTCTAGTAAACAAAGTTATATGGATGGAGATAAGATCTGATGTCCGTGCATAAAATGCCATAACAAAGCATATAAAGAAGCTGATAAGGCAAAGTATCATTTGTACAAGTTTGGTTTTGTTCCTAATTAAGAGTTTTAGGATAAACATGGAGAAACATCATTCGATTGTACTCCATTAGGGGTGGATGATACATACATGAGTCTGAATGAACACCATGAACCTACTTATAGGAAAATGGTTATGGATGCAGCAGGTCCTGATTTTATAACCAATACTCTTGACGAGGAGCCAAATGTAGAAGATAAGAAGTTTTCTGATATGCTAGAGACAGCTGAAAAAGAGTTGTGGTCTGGTTGTAAAAAGTGACACAACTATCTGTTATAGCTCGACTATTGAATATCAAATCTGAATATCGTATCCCTAAGCAATGTTTTTGATGCTATATGCCAATTGATAAAGGATGGGTTACCGGAGGAGAATAACATGGCTGATAGTTTATAGGAGAGCAAAAAGTTAATACAAGCACTGGGTTTACCTGTTAAATTGATTGATAGTTGCAAGTCTGGATGTATGATATATTGGAGGGGAGACAAAGATCTTGATCGGTGCAAGTTTTGCAACGCACAAAAGTACAAAAAGTCAAGAAGTTCATCTACACATTCGCGTATACCTTTCAAGAGAATGCATTATTTTCCCTTGACTCCAAAGTTGAAAAGGTTGTATGCTTCACAAGCAACGGTCGCCTCCATGCAATGGCACGCTGATAATCATGGTCAAGATGCTGGGGTAATGTGACATCCATCTGATTCTGAAGCTTAGAAGCAATTTGATATTAGTTATCCTACATTTGCGTCCGAACGACATAATGTTAGATTAGACCTATGTATAGATGGGTTTCAACCCCATGGAGCTTCAGGAAAAACAATATTCATCTTGGCCTATTATGATAACACCTTATAATTTGCCATGGTTCTTCATCTTGGCCATGGGACGCGACACGAAAAATCAAAGTTGTTACAGGTATGACTTTCCCTGTGGAGGGATATAGTCAAGAAGTAAGTTATAAAGAAAAAACGACCCTTAATACTCATGATGAATCAATTTTTGGGCCATACCAAGAAGATCAGATGTGGGCTACTGGTGGGTCTCAAATTAATGAAGCAACCGAAACAGAAAATGGGTCTCAACCCATAACTCCTCAACCAGACCTTCACACAAGCCCAAATTTGAGCCCTATGAGTACTCCACAGCCGCACCCATCTACTCCAATTACTCCAACCATGTCAATTAACTCATCAAGCACTGTTTCAAGCTCAACTGGTGGTGGTGCTCCAAAACGGTACAAATTGCTAACTGACTTGTATGAAGCAATTGATCAATTGTTACTGATTAAAGATAGTGAAGAACCATTCGATTTTTCTGAAACAAGAAAACATACATAATGGGTCAAGGCTATGGAATCAGAACTAGAGTCGATCGAAAAGAACAAGACCTGGAGCTTGGTGAAACTACCAAAAGATAAAAAAAAAACCAATCGGGCTGAAGTGGGTTTTCAAGGTTAAAAGGGACCCAGACAGGTAGATATTGAAGTACAAAGCTAGAATAGTGGCCAAAGGATACGTTCAGAAACACGTGATCGATTATGACGAGGTCTTTGCACCGGTGGCTAGGCTCGAAACGGTTCGTGTTATTCTAGCTCTTGCAGGTTCAAATGGATGGCTCGTACACCATCTCGATGTAAAGTCAGCTTTTCTAAATGGAAACTTGGAAGAGGAGGTGTATGTAAAACAACCTGATGGGTTTGTAAAAAGGGGTGAAGAAGACAAAGTGTAAAAACTCTCGAAGGTTGTTTATGGGTTAAAACAAGCACCCCGGGCATGGAATGCTTGCTTAGACAAATATTCTGATAGTGGGTGTGTATGTTGATGACCTCCTGGTAACATGAAACTACCATGAGGATGTGAAATGTTTCAAAAAGGATATGAATGCAAAGTTTGAGATGAGTGATCTTAGACTCTTGACTTATTATCTGGGATCGAGGTAAACCAAAATTATGAAGGTATCACACTGAAGCAAGAAGCATATGCAAAGAATATTCTAGCCAACACTCGGATGTTGGATTGTAACCCCACATACCCGTTATGAGTCGTTTTATTGAAAATCCAACCACGAAACATCTGTGAAAGGTATACTCAGATATGTGAACGCCACTTTAAATTATGGTTTGGTTTACAATAGAGGAAAGAGCAAGGTCACAATCTCCGGGTACTCCGATAGTGACTTGGCAATGGATGTGAATGATAAAAGAAGTACCAGTGGGATGACGTTCTATTTAAATGGTAATCTGGTTACATGGGCTTCTAAGAAGCAACAGTGTGTAGCATTGTCCTCATGTGAGGCTGAGTTCATGGCAGCCACGATAGCAACTTGTCAAGGGATATGGTTGCATCGTCTACTTACAGAGATAACAAGAGAGAGGGTGGTACCATCTACTCTGTTTGTTGATAACAAGTCAGCTTTAGATCTCATGTGGAATCCTGTATTTCATGGTCGCAGAAAGCACATTGATACAAGATTCCACTTCATGAGAGAGTGTATGGAGAATGGTGAGATAAAGGTAACTCATGTATACAGCAAGGATCAAAAGACAGACATACTCACAAAAGCAATGGCAAAAATGAAGCATAATGAAATGCAAATCGTTATTGGAGTCAAATAGATATCAAATTCTAGATTAAGGGAAAAATGTGAAGTGTAATATTTTTTTATGTGTTCCAATGTTTTAAAAACCGGTTTTTTAGTTGAACCGGTATGGTCACCGATTCCCGGTTCAACCGGTTGGTTCGACAGCTTGGTTAACCGGTTTCTATAATTTTAATATTTTTTCCTATTTTCCTATACATACATACATATATAAATCATGAATTTGACATTTATAAGTTCAAACATTAAAAATACATATAAAAATAAGTTGTGGATCAATCCAAATACATTAAAATAACCCATAACCATAAGTTTTAGTGTTTTACATCAATCCATATACGTCAAAAAGAAAATAAAGTATAATATCGAAACAAAATATAGTTTTAGATGAATACAAACACATCAAAAAACTTTATAAAATTTACCATATGTTTTTATTTAGAGAAACTAAATAAAGTTGAAAAAAAATCACCAAATTTTATTATGCAAATGATTGTTTTCCATTTATTTTTATTCGGTTTAACCGGTTCAACCGGTTTATTTTGACCGGTTCAACCCAGTTCAGAAACCAACGTAAAATCGGTGATAGTTAAACCGTTCTCTCCCCGGTTCCCGGTCCAACTGGATCGACCGGCCGGTTCAAACCGGTTTTCAAAAAGGATTTATGTGTTCCAGCTGCACATTTTTTTGTGTTCCTTTTACTTAGGTGTTGTTTGTTTTTTCGAAGAGAAAATGTCTGAAGTCTACGGACCACCTCTGCAATCCTCTGTAGCAGAAGAGGTGGAACAAACGGCTGCAGCATTTAATAAAAAGTATGTTTGTTTTTTAACGTTTGCAGACTGCTGCAGTAAGTTAAACTAAGGCGTGAAGAGGTTTGAAGCAGTTGGTTTAGTGTTGCGCCACGCAGCACACGCGCAACATTTTTTAAGTTAGAAGTCTTTTGAAAAACAAACAGCTACGAAGGACCAAGTGCTGCGTGGCACAGCAATAAGTGGTCTGAAGTGGTTTTTTTTAAAAAACAAACAGCACCTTAGTCTACTAGAGTTGAATAAGTCATGTATAGGCAAGTGGTACCTAGTCTTATGCAAACAGGTAGATTCAATTCCTACTTTCTTTTTTTGTTTAGTTTAAAAGAGACAAATGAGTGTAGTGATTCCTTTTTCCTGTTTTCATGAATAAAGAAGTGCAGAAATTTGCCCAGTAAAGTTTTTATTTGTGTTCCCTCGCTGTGATTAGTCATTGTGTAAACCCTTTATCTTTCGTGAAAAAGCTAACATGTACTTCATATTTGACCGAAGAATTTGTTATATCAAGTTGATATAATCCTTTGTAATTGTATAGTAAGTCGCATTAACGGAACTGTTGTTTAAATAACAGAGTTCTTATATGTTCTACATACATAGAGCGCAGTAACAATTCTAGGATCTTCAAGTCATTGTTTTTTATTGAAGATTTCGCGTTTCGTTTTCTCGAACTTATTTCATTCCACATCAATATCTTGGTAGAACACCTTCCTGAAATCTTCCATATGCCTCATTTGTAGACATAATGCAATTACCAAGGACCCATCTCCATCTTTGCCATGAAGAATCAAAGAATCTCCATCCGAATCATGTGTTCCTGGACCCATATGAATCTCCTTCCCCCATCCAAAATCGGCACCATAAATTGGCAATGTTAACCAACTTATCACCCCAAGATTTGGATTGCCGTAAAAATGCTCTTCCCCATTAGATGTTGGTTGCAACTCTCGGAACAGTGATAAGTCTTGCTGGCTCTTTAGAAAGTCCAACACCGAGTGCACGTACTCATCGTCAACCTTTTCAATCACTTCCCTTATTTTACAGGAAACGTATCCTAAAGGTTTTGAAACAATCTCACCTGAGCAGCCAGTGGCAATTGCATTGACAATTCCGTTTCCAAAGTACTTTCTTGGCAATGGTGGCTTCATTTTACTTCTAACATCAATGCAAATAGCCAATGCAGTTGGCTGCTCTGGTTTATGATTACGCGCTTTGCATGCACTTCTCCATATGTGTGCAGTTAAAGTCTCATACCGTGTAAAACCACGGCTTGTCTCACTCTTACCTTTGTTAGCTTTGCTTCGCAATTTTTCCACTTGAGTTGCTGTTAATTTCAACATTGTGACCGCAGTCTCCTTCTCAGATTCCCTTTCGTTGCCAGATTGATCTATAAGGATCGGTGGAGGATCGAACTCTGCATGTTCAAATTTCGAGCTTGCTCTTGGAGGTTCCCCAGCTCGCAGAAGTTTTCTGTCGAGATAAGGTGGTGACTCCAATAACTCACCTCTCGAAATCCTAGCCCATTCGGACACAAAATGAAGTGCACTTTGCCCATCAGCAACAACATGCGAAATGTTTACACCAAGACTAAACCCACCGCAATTGAACCTTGTAACTTGCAAAACTAACAACGGGATTTCTTCAAGAGGTGCACTTTGGTAATCTATTGAAGGAATAAGTTGGTGGTATGTCGGAGATGGTAAAAGACTATCCAGATCAATAAGTTTCTTGTCAGAGTACGCTTCTGTGAACTGCGCACCGGCTGCATTACAATTAAGTTCCAAACGGCCTCCGGCAATAGTAGATAGCCGGCCGGCCAGTGGGTAGAAATGAACTAGGGTACAACTCAGTGATGTTTTTAGGGTTTGTATAACAGTGACCCAATCCTCAGGGGATTGCGCGTAGAAGTAAATGGTCGGGACATGGGTGGTGACACCAGTTTGGTCAAGTTCTGATAAGACCAACTTACCGGACCATGTTGGCTCAGCTGGTGTAACCATGCAAGAAGTCTTGTTGGAAACCTTCATTTTGGAAAAAGAGAAAACTACGGATGATTCACCAAAGAAGAGTTGAAAGTTTGCGGCATTTATGGGCCAAATGAAGCCATTATAATGGTATGACCCTAAACTCATGCTTAAATAACTTCGGATAAGGGGCAGATGGAGAATGCATGATTGGGAAATACTATTATGTTTATTGCTTGTTAACCGGAAAATGACATGTTGATGATACTCTCGATTAGGGGTATGCGCAGTGCATTTTGGTGCGGTTTAGAGTCAAAACCTTCAAACCGCACCGCAAGTGTGGTTTGAGATTTTTGGAAACCGCAACCCGCACCACGAAGGATCTAAACCATTTAATGCGGTGTGGTACGGCCGGATTTAATGTGGTTTGATTAATAACTAAAAAATAATTTTACATGCATTAGGCTAAGTCTTATGTAGTCTACTTATTTTTCTTAAGATCTTAAATATAAATTATTTCTATTAGTAAAAATAGCTACAAACGTTGTTTAAAACATCAATGGATCAAACAATTAATTAATAATTTTATAGAAACTAACATCAGCCATCAATAGTAAAAAACTAAACAAAATAACAGTTTGAACATAACCAGAAGTTGTCTAAAACAGAAGTCATCAAAAAAAAAAAAAAAAAAAAAAAAAAAAAAAAAAAAAAAAAGAAAAAAGCCAATAGTAATCGATCAAATAAGCCCATTTGGATTTTTGCCGAATTCGAAGGAAAATGAGCATGGCTTATGGTCTAAGTTCCGATGTAATTATCTAAGATATTAAGCCAAGCCAATATCTATATGTTTTAATTTCCAAACATATTTATGTTTTGAGTAAATTACACGAATCGTACTTCATGCAAGTACCAAAATACACGTTTAGTCTATATTTTTAAAAATTAATTCTGCTCATCCTTCGTTTGTTTAAAACTTATATGTTACGTCCCTAACAAACATAAATGACCATACTTTTTCTATTTCTTTTCTATTATTTTTCATTTATTTATCATTATTAGTTATTAATTGATTTGTGTATTATAAAAAATATTTAGTTATTGCTTTTAATTAAAAAAATGGGCCTAAACCTAAACCAGTCCCCTGCCCTTCTTCTTCTTCTTCAATCTGTCTCATCTCCCGTGTCCATCATCACCACCCACACCGGCCACCTGCATCACCGCCCATCACCGTCGAGTCTATTACTTCGGCGACTCCAAGACATCTCCGGCCACTCCACCACACGTTTGAGATTGTTTTCTGGGTTTTGTGAACTTCATCTTCCCCTCGAAATCCAAAAATCTGGAATCAAAATCGAGCAGATATGAGAGAGGAATGGTGGTGACAAGGGCCATTGGCGGTAGAGTAGATCGGGGCGAGTACGGTTCATCGTCTTCTACAACGACGATTTTAGAGGTGATGATGACAAAATCAGTTTAAATCTTATTGTTTTTCAATTTTGTATGTCTACTGTTCATCGTTTTCAACCTTGAATCTGGAATCTAACAAAATCAGTATTGTTCATCGTCTTCTATATTGACGATTTCGGTGGGGTGAACAACTCAAATCAGACAACTCATTGTCCACATTCTTTAGATTCCGCCTCCCACCTTCATTTTTCGTATAAAAAAAATAAGATAATCGGGTTCGGTTGTTGTTGGGTTTAAGGAGAAACGAAGATAATAGACGCTGGATTTACCGAAATATTTACAATTTTTTAGATATGTTTGATGTAATTTCCTGGGTTTACAGAAAGATTTACGATTTTAGAGATTGTTTTGATAATGCATTTTTCTGGATTTTGTGAATGGAGGAAGAGAATACATGGTCAGTAGCGGCGGTCAAGAGGGCTTTCCAGTGGTGGTTATGCACATTTACGGCGGTGATTTAGATGTCTGATGGTGCTGGTGGTTAAGTGTTCAACTTTTAATTTGGTTTAAAGTTAGGTGCTGGTGGTTAAGTGTTCAACTTTTAATTTGGTTTAAAGTTAGGTGGACACATACTTTCAATTAAAATATTTTTAATAATTAAAAATAATAAAAATTATTATAATTAAATAAAAAATGGCATTATAGTCTATGTATTGCAAAGGATTAAGCGTGTAACTCAAACTAACAAAGGACTGAACGTGCAACTCTTATGTTTTCTACAACTCTTTGGACGGTTGGAAGGATCTATTTTATATATATATATATATATATATATATATATATATATATTTACTATCAAATCTTACTATTTCTATAAATAGATTCAATATAATAATAATATTTTTTTAAAACGTCCAAGTATTAAAGCTTAAAGTACAATCAAACATCAATAAAATAATATTAAAATATCAAGTTAAGCCATGGAGATCATATATACGTTTGAACTTTGAATCCTCCTAAAAATCTGGCAAATTTGACCCAATATTCACTATAGTTCACCCAATTAAATCGGTTTCACATGGAGTTATTTTGACCTGACTCCTTATTTTTAGTAGACTAAATCAATCTTTATCTCATGTGTAGTTTCAACCAATGTTTTAAAACCCGGGTTTTTAGTTGACCCGGTGTGTTGACCGGTTCAACCGCCGGGTCAACCCGGTTTATAGTCTTTTTTTATTTTTATATATTTGTACTTTCCTGCATAATGCATAAACATATAAAACCAATAATTTGATGTCCACAAAGTTTAAACATTGAAAAACATTGAAGAAACCGCAAACGGCTTGTTGTTTTGGCGTTCGTTACTTGTATCCAACTATCCAAGCCCTATTAAAACGGGTCAATCCGGTTTTAACCGGTTCGACATAAGCGGTCGAACCGCGGTATAGTGGAAACCCGCCGGTTCGATCCGATCCGTATTTTTACAAAAAACCGTTCTCAATTAACCCGCCTTCTACCCCGGGTCACGGTCCAACCGGTTGAACCGGCCGAGTCGACCCGGGTTTTAAAACATTGGTTTCAACAAATGTTATAGAAACCTAAATGTGCACCGTAAACCGCCGGGCCTTTTTCTTCTTCATGAAGCCACCTCTCTAATCATGATTTGTTTTTCTTTTTACAGGTTTTAAGTCATGGATCTCGATCTACACCACCATCTTCACACCACCTAAGTCTCTCTCTCTCTCTTTCTCTCTCTCAACTGTGTTTATTTTTACAAGTCGTTTTTTTATAGATTTTTTTATTTTTTATGCAAGCAATGATTTGAGTAGAAATGCACATAGAGGAAAGAAAAGAAACGTGGGTACCAAACTTGAAGAAAAGAAAATTGTGAAGCAAACCTGAAGGTATCTTCTTGCTTTTGAATTCTCGATTATTTTGCATTTTTGTGGACAACTAATCAACTATATTCTCTTTTAACATATTTGACCATATGTGATTTATCGTGGTTTTCCTCCTGATGAGTTTCTTTTTTGATATGATTTTTTTGGCAGATCCGACCTCCACAAAAAGTTTACTGAAATTCAATAAATAACATGCTTCAAAAATATGTAGCCATTGATTGTTATGGGTTTGGCTTTTGGTTGAATTGAATTATTGTTCAAAAATATCTTACCCAACTGCCTTGTTTTTCAAAAGTATTTTATTCCTTAATTGCTCATGGCAGGGTCATCGTTGTTAGCAAGAGAGACTTTTTGAAGAATGAAGGGTTATTGACCAGCTTCCCTGAAGGTAGATATATATAGGCTCTTTTGATGATGGTTATTGATGGCGAAGATAGGCATCCGCTCCTTTATCTTTCAAGATCACCCAACAGGAATTTGGTAGCAGCTATATATACTCCTCCATACAACATGAAGGTCAAGTCAATTCGAGCCTATATATTTCTAGCAAGCTATATCTTATTGTTTTTTATATGGGCTGAATGTTTGACTTCATTTTGGACGTAAAAACCTGATAATCGATGTCAATTTTTGAATCCGAAAAAGCAATATATTAAAATTTTATAAACTATCAAATCTATCGCATTTTGAGAAATGCGAGGGCATAATCACATTGGATTTACCTGGTCTCGCAAGCACATAGGAAATTCAAATTCTTATAATATCACAATCTATGTGTAAATCGATACCATAATGTTTTCTTTGGAAAATACAAAAAAGTTAAATGGTTGACAAATAAATGAACTTTCTGATGAATTTTTTTATGAACTAAAGTATAGTTTTATCACTGACGGCCATTTCCTAATACTAAATCATACTTTTCTCATTGGTAGTCTATTAGTGCAAAAGCATTTAATTTCAAGAATACTTGTTTTCTGTCTAATTGTGTTGTTTTTGTTTATTGTTGAGCAGGGAGCCACTGTAAGTATGGAAGGGATAAAAGCATGTAGTTATGGTTTTTTGTTATTTATATGCTTCTTCATTGTGCCTAGCTAGGGGATTATTTTTGGAATTTTGAAGGGATAAAATCAAATAATATTTGTTTGCCCAAATTCTTTTTTATTTTATATAATTATGCATAAAAACCAGTTATGTATATGCTTAGATATCAGTTTTCTTTTTTGTATTGTATACACTTACATTTAATAATGTCGTTCACCAACCATTTATGGGTGTCAGTACACATATGGGGGGTTTTAACATTCTAAGTATCATGCCTATTAATAGATTAAACTTACTGTTCATTTTTTGAGTAGATTAATTTTGTTGGTCTTAATTTCCCTAATTTGTTTGATGACTTTTAGAAAATTCTCTTTGTGAAAGTTGCGGATCTTGCAAAACTGAGAAATGAGCCGGAAGAAATCTCCGTACACCATCAAATAATGAAGACCCACCAGGGCATGTTGCGGACAAACAAAAGGATATATAAAAGTGGGTGTGAATAATTGTCTTGCACTAAGTTTTTAATATAACGTCTGACATTAAATCTTTGAACGGAATGCATTTGTACTGCCATAAGCTTATGGATGACATAATTTATTTCTTTGTGCCTAGACAGTTGTGAAATATATTTTGGTCTTTGAGTGCTATGCTTTTTGTTTTGTAGTATCCATCATCCATCGCCCTCCCGGCTTTAATATTTTCCTCTCTTAG